GTGACGTTTCCTTGTGGCCAAGTTTTGTAAAAAACCTAAATATTTTTAATGTAAAAAATAAGCAAAGAAAATGGGTTTCCAGAAAGCAGGAAAAATGGGTCTGAAATTTTGACACGCAAAACAAAAACAAAAAAGAAAAACTAGGAAGTGGACTGTGCTTGGCACATGCAAAGAAAATGGGGTTGTGGCAGAGACTACTTTGATTTGCCTAAAAAAGTGTTAATCATTTGCGTTCCTTCTTCTTCTTAATAGGTCAGGCCCCTTTACACCTCCGTTGCCAAAACTGGGCCAAACAAACCAAACAGCCAGCACAGCAATTCACAGAATAGGGGCGCAAGACCTCAAAACAACGCGTGGCAATCATAGCAAATGGGCCAACTGAAGTGCCTTCCTGTCACACTTGAGCATTTGGCGCCTGGGTCTGACAATTCCCATTTTCTGGAAACACATGAGAATCGCTCAAAGTTCCCCACCAACTACAAAACCCAAGACACGCACGCCGCCAAACCCTAACAAACTGAGGCGCCTTTTTTCTCCAAGGGCAGCTCCAGCTCTTGCTTCAACATGTTTCCCTGTCAAATAGCAATCATACAAGTCAATTGCAAAAGGCACAGCGCGGAAACAGTCAAGGCCATCTGTTCTGCGCGCGCGCTCAAGTCAAAAAATGGGAAGCCGCAGCGTGGTGAGCTAGTCGCTTTGACAGAAGGGCAAGACGGCAAGGCCGAGCATGTCTTCAAGGCGCTTCAACACAGCAGGAAGCACAACAGCGCGCAACAACGCAATGCCTCAACACACACACACACACTGTTGCCTGCCGCACAGCGACAAAACACAGTGACCACAGGCCAGCAGAGCCGCGCAAGAGCCTGTCTGTCGACCTACTACATTGGCACGCGAAGCAAAGCTTGACACTTTCCACTCGGTCAAGTCAACGCGTGTTTAAGTGTTTGTTACTCAAGCAGCTTGACTCAAGCACACGCCTGTCGTGAAGAAGGCAAGGATAATTTATTTCACTTTGGCAGGACTTTATCAGCTTAATAGAGCAGCTGGATAGAATGCGACAAGACATTTGCTGGCAAGTGCGCTGGTGCGCCGCGCGCTAGTTAGTTGATCTTATAAACACTTCCAGACACCCTGGATTGCCAACTTTGCCCTTTGTCCCAAGCAAGGAACCCCGAGGAAAGCTTCAGCGTGGCACAGCTCTTGGTGTTGGCGCCCATGTTTTGCTGCCGTTGTTCGTTGCAACAATACCAAGTCTCCGACACAGAACAACCGCGAGCGACAGCAGCCTCCGCTGTTGCTGCTTGCTGTCTGGTGTAGTGACCAGTGTAGTGTAGTGTAGCCGCCCTGCACGACAGTTGCCAACCTGGTGAATAAGATTCTTGGATCGTGGGCCACAGAACCCCTCATTGCTGTCAATGAAAGGCTGTCCCTTTCTGCTCACCCCAACCATTGCCGTCAGGGATGCTCTTGGCATGAAGGCGAATTGCAAACCACAAACCTCAGATATTTGCTGGCAAGTGCGCTGAGAGCTCCTGGCCCACAACCGCCAAGCTTGCCAGCTTGCCAGCTGTCAGTTGGATCGTTAGGAGTCTAGTCTAGGTCAAGAGCTAAGCCACTTAGGCTGACGCTTGCGCTCCAAACTCCCAACCAAGCCCCAAGCAATCCCAGCCTTGGTTGATCTTTGGACTGTCCTAAAGCAATGAGCTTCCGCGCGGCGCAGCTCAATACTTTAGCTTAGCACTCACGCAGACAACGTCGCTTCCGAGAATGTGTTGGTGTTGGTGTAGCCGCCCTGCGTGACAGCTGCCAGTCTTAGATTCTTGGATGATGATCCGATGAACTCCTAAAAGTTTCGTAGCGCTTTGCCATTTGCAGCCGACCTTAGCCTGCTGCTCACCCGACCATCGCGACGCGCTTGACATAAAGGCTCCTGGCGACATGTTTGTGGGTGCGCCACAAACCTCAGACTAGATATTTGCTTGGGCTTGGGCCCGACAAGAAGGATCCTCAGGTCTAGTCTAGTCTAGCCCAGGCGTTGAGACTTGGAGCGCAAGTCTCAAACCAGCCTGTAGCAGCAGCTTTGCTGCAGGCTGTCCCTGTTGGCAGCTTGGGGCGGGGGTTTCTCCCAAGCTCTAAGCCCTAAGGCCCGAAGACCTTCGTCCGGGCGCAGCGCAGCTTGTGGCATCAATCATTCGTGACTAGTGGCTAGTGACCAGCTTGCGCACGCTTGTTCATTGTTGCGTTTGGCAGGAGCCCGCACTGGCAAGCAGAGTCGCGCGTGTTCAATTGTGCGGCCAACGCTGCCGCATTTTTGCCAGACGTGCGTCCTACATCATACTGAGTTTAGGCGTGACGCGGGTTGCAAACCTTCATGGCCAACAACCACTTACAAATTGGCCCGGCGTCTCAAAACCCGCAAGCTGCGTCACAGGCCAGTAGCTGCCAAGTCTTAAAGCAATAAGCCGGCCGCAGACAGATTATTACCTTATTGATTTACTAGCAATGAACAAAAAATGTTTGTTTATAGCGCCCTGCATGCTGTTTCTGCTATTGCGTTGAACACAATTGCAACCATGATTGATGCAGGGCCAGGCTGCCAGATGCTGCCAGGCGCTTGCACTGAGAAGCTACGCCAAGCGCGCGCCTTCAGCTGCGCGTCCGTGAGCCATGCGATCTTGGGGCTGAAGGGTCGTGCGCTACCGTGATGTTGCTGTGTGAGTTCTTGTTGCACCAGACACGAGTAGCAGTAGCAGTAGTAGCAGTAGAAAACGCTCAAACGCTGGGGTCGTTTCGCTTGAGATGGCGAAAACGTGAAAAACATCGGGGTAGGGCGGCTATCGGCTTCTAGCGCTAGGGCTCGGCGTTTCGCAGTAGAAACCGTGTTAACTGTTCGCCCTCGCAGCCATAGCCGTCGCCGTAGCCAGTGATCGGATGCTGTTGGTTTGCTCGTTGCAAGCCAAGCGTTGCTGTCAGCCGTTGCCAGTCAGCATGCTGGGTCTGGCGTCCAAGGTCGTGCGTTCGAGGTCGTGCGCATTCCTTGTTGGAGTATTGTTTTGGGTAGCGTCCTTGCTCAACTGCTGCTGCTATCGATTCTTAAACTGCGTTCCTTCCTTGCAGATGAAGCGCTCCTAGCGGTTTGAGCGAGCAGCGACCGCGGGAGGCATGGTCGGCGCTTGGGCTGGGTTGGGGGCGTCGAATTGTTTGTTTACTTGCGTGAGCGCCACGGTGTTCGCAATTGGCCGGTTGGCGCACAGTGGCAGCGGCGCAGTGGTTGCACCACATCCGCTTTGTTTCTTCTGATTTCTGGAAGCTATAGGCCTGCAGTTTCCCTTCGTGTTGGGCGCGCTTTCATCTTGCATAGCTATTAGGGCCAGCAATGGCCGGGAAGTCTCTGGATCTATCCTGCTTCAGGCTTGGCCCGCCTACAAGGACCCCGCGCGTTTGCGCTGAGCTAGCCTTGAGATAGCTTGCTCCAATTGCCTGTCAAGGTTTGGGAGAAGTTGCTCTTTTGTTTCTTCTTCTTCTTCGTCGGCGTGTGTCGGGCTTCAACAATGAAGTTGTTGCTTTCGAGGCTCTGGAGCCACCCTTGTGTTTGGAGCCCGCTCTGCGCAAAAAGCTGATCTGGCCTGGGCAGGTCTAGGTGTGACATCGTTGGAAATTGCAAATCTGCAGAGCGGCTGATGCGCTTGAAGCTCCACTAGCGCTTCCTGGCATTTGCATGCGCAGCGATCGTGTCCAGCGCACTCCCTGAAGATGATGGCCAGCAAAGGAGAATCTAAGCTGAATTTGCGGCGCGCAAGTGTTGCTCTGGCGCTGTGTGGCGGCTGAGGAAGGAAAGAAACAGAAACTGCCTCAGTCGTGCGCAATCAGCGCACTCACGCACTCTGCCAAGTACGTCAAGGGAGCTTTCCTGGCCATTTTTGTGAAGAGCATGGTTGGGGCAAGCTCTCACTGACGGCAACGAGGGGCTATCCAAAATCTAAGTCGCTAAGACACTGGCAACTGCCACACCATGGCGCAAGCGGAAGCAACATCCAACAATGAGAAGCTCCTGCTACCAGTACCAGCTCCTGTGAGACATTGCCGTCAATTTGCAAAAAAATACCCAGCTGGCAAACGGCCACCGCAATAGTCATAAGTCTGAGGCGCTGCTCTGCCTGCTCTCCTACCCGCAAAGCAAACAAACTCACACCACAGCCACTGTGTTGAAAACAACGAACAAACAAACTGCAAACCAGTCACCAGCTAGCCAAACCCGTTTTGCGACTACTGGTGTCAACGACTGGTGACATTCAACGCGCCAGCCTAAACCCTAAGCCTTGGCCGCCTTAGCCTTAGCCGTAAATGTTAAAGCCCAAAGCCTCCAAAATGTTCACTTGACGCCATGCATCAAGTCATGGTTAAGCAGCTATGCGACAAACTGCTGATCTTAGCCGCTAGGCCATGAACTACAAAAAAAATAGCCTTCGCGTCATCCTCTTCACACCTGACCATTACCTTGCTACCACTCGCCAGCTCTTTTTTGCAGCTCCGCGATCCGTGCGCGCCGCCCACCGGCAAATCTGAATTTCACCAAGGTGGAACATTATTGGTCTGAGTGGCCCCTTGGGCGCCCCTTGTCGCAAAACAAACCTGGCAGCATGAAGCAAAAACGACTGAGACTCACCTGGGCTTGTGAAACTACACCAGGCGCGACCCTCTGCCACTACAAGATAAGCTATTCAAAGACTACACTACAACACTACAAAACTCGGCACATGGCGATGGCAGGTTAGCAACAACTAACTCTAAGAAACTGAAAACACAATCATGCCCAGCAGAAGGTCCTGCGATGAATCAACAGTTTCAATCACACGCGAACCAGCGCGCGTGGTCCTACATGGCCGGGCGCTTTGACTGAGTCACACCGAACCCCTGGCCCTTGGCCTGAGTAACAAACACAACATTGCTCGTAGACAAACGTCACGAGCGCTGTGGTGCAAAAACATCTGGGGTGGGTCTACATTCCGGAGCCCGCAACGCCATGCGCGCAGAAAAGCTACACAGCTACCGCAGCTACTCCAAGAGTGAAGTGGCTTTTGCAATCAACGCCTTGTGCACATCACTCTGAGAAATGCCAAACGCCCCGCTGGCCAAGGATGCAAGTTCCTTCCGGGCCAAATTGCGGCCTGTGCCGGATTGGCACGTGCAAGCTATGAGCAGCAAACTCTCAGTGCGCAGCACATGCGATGCCTTCTGGAGCGCGGCGAAAGACTTGATGGCGGTCACGAGCGTGTTGACACCGTCATCAAATTCGCTCAGCTTGGGCACACGCTTCACCCATGACTCCGCGCGCGCCTGAGCCTGGCAAAGCAAATGCATTGCGACAAATCTGATCGGTTTGCGAATTTTGACCTCGCTGGCAAGTCCAACCACCAACTTGCTACAAGCGTAGAGAGACCCTTCCTGTCCTTCCTGGCCTGGTGGCTACATTGAAACGCAAGCAACAACCATGCACATTTCTACAATTTGACTGAAGGTTCCAGCAGTAGGTCTCCACAGTCTGAGTCCCATCATGTCCTTGTCTACTCAAGTCTCACCTCACTGCTCGCCATCTGAAACAGGTCAGCCAGAGAACTGTTTCAGACAACACACACGCAAACTTCCTAGACCCTAAACCCTAAGCCAAAGCAATGCGAGGATGGCCCTGACTTAACTTAGAGGGCCTGGGTTGAACTGCATGGTCGGTATTTGCTGAGCAAACTGATTTTGGAGCTCGCAGCCAATTGCCACCAATTAGCCAGTAGCTAGCAGCTACCAGGCTCTCAGCTATCAACCAAGCAAACGGTATGCAAGCCATAGCAAAAAAAAACATAAAAACCACAACAACCCGACGCGCAGCTCAGCCTGCTTCATCTGGGCCAAGTGTTTCTCCAAATCTGCACCGTTGATCTTGCCCACAGTAGACTTCGCGCTCTCCAGGAGCTCGTCCACATCATTTTCATCTGTTCGCCAGCGCTTGTCCTGGTATCCGTGCGTGAGAAGCTCCAAGTCCTTTTCCAACGTGCCCAAAGACTTTACCTGCACCTCCACCTGTAAGCCAAGCTCCTCGACCAGCTCCTCTGAAGGAATCATAGAATCCAAGGGCATCACAGCGATGCAACACAGGCCAACTTTTGCAGAAGTTTCAGAAAACTCGCGGGGCGGCTGCTGAGCCAAAGAGGCCTCCACAATGCCCTTGGCGTGCTGGTACGCCTTCACTCGCTGAAAAAAGTTCTGCAACTGCTTCTCATTGCCCGGGACAAACTTCTTCTGCGCCTCAAGCACTGCCTGGCTTTCTGCCGCCAACGTCAAGCAAATCAAGATGCGCTGTTTCAGATCCTCGTCCTCCTTCTCAGTGAACAGCATGGCGGTCAGTTTTTGCAAAGCACCAACACGATCCTTGGACGTCTGCAGCAATCCATCCTGGACACAACAAAAAACGGAGAAGCCGTTCGGCACAAACAAAATGACTGGTCACATGGTACAGGAACTACAACTGCAACTGCGTTTGTAAGCGAGCAAAACGTTTCACGACCAACACTTCGCAACAGAGAACGACTTAACCTGCTTGCCTGGGCCCTAGCCAGGCCCGCCCAGACTCAACAGTTAAAACAAAAATCTTGAAGCTCTAGACCTAGATGACAAGCTTCCAGACAAACAATCCCCAAAAGGAAAAATAGCAACACAGGCCCACGACAAGTTCACAGGCTGTCAAGAGTCGCCTGCTACCTGCACGCAACTTGCCCTTTGACGGCCAACCGTACGTTTTCACAAAACTGAGCGGGGCTGGGCGGTGGCAAGGACAAACGCAGGTTGGGCAAGTCTCGGCACTTTAGTTTTGGCTGGTTATGTCTTGGCAGAGCGCGTTTGCTTGGCTGCGGCCTGGTTACGGTTGCCTGTGCCTAGATTCCTAGATCAACCTCAAGCGCACTCACTGGCGTCCTCAGTGCCGAGCATCTCCATGAACCTGTAGAGGAGGACGGTGCCGTTTTCTTGGGCAGCCTCGCTCAACACCTTGGGGGTGGCAACGGTGGCACAAAGGTCCAAGAGCAACTTCTCTGCCTCCTTGGGGCTTGTGTCCCAGGCATGAAGAGTTTGCTGCATGGCCGCATTGAGTTTGCGCGAAGCAAGCTCCGATGCCTTCTGCCCTCTCCACACTGACAATTTCTTGCGAAGCTCCAACACGCCTGGCTCCCAAACCTTGGTCAAGCGCCACAAGGTCCGACTCCTGCAGCTGCGACGTGTCATCCATCTCGATGACAGACGAAGATTATTGCCTGCCGCAGGGTCGCCTCCACCTTGCTCAGCTGACCGGGGCGGCCTTGGCCCTTCACACGCGGCAAGTCCATGATTGCCTTTGTCAGCCATTGAGGAACTGGATCAAGCGCAACATCAAAATTCGCAAGCTGGTCCGACAGCTCCTCCCCCCACAACTTCGCGCGCTTCAAGTCGCCTGCCTTGAGGAGCTCGTCGGCCTTCTTCTCCCAGAACGGGGTGGCCAAGTGCAATCGCAATGTTGACAACAAGTCTGTAGCGTTCGCTCCAGAGGCAGCCTTTGAAAGAACTCTCAAACACTCAGCCGTCTCTGCAGCCTCTACGTCGAGCAAGGTCACGATGCACTTGCACACCGTCAACACGTCGGAGCAGGCCCTGGGCACGGGCGGATCCTCCTCGTGGCCGTCAGAGGCCAAAGCCTCATTCACAAGTGCGCTGGCGTGCTTTGAGTAATCGTCCAGAAAAGCAGTTGTAAGCAACAGCAAATTCTTGACGACCATAGGTTTGCTGCTGCTTTCGTTCAGCAAGGCAAAGAAGTCATCACATCCGAAGGCGTTCACCATGGACGTGGCAACCTCCTGGCCAAGTGTTAGCGACGGCAAGTTTTCTTTTGCTCAGTGTTAATGGCCCTCCCCCCCGTAACTGTTTTGTGGAATATATGTTTAGCTTGACTAATCCTGACGGTCCTCGCACACAAATTATTTTGGCCGTAGATGGGTTCCCGGACATTGTTCTGCCATTTGTCGGAGTGAATGTTTTTGCGATTATGACTACCCATTATTCCTGGGCGGGTGTCCTGGCCCTTGGCCAAAAAAGACTCCTCTGGGCGTAGTTGGGCGCACTAGAACACGAACGTGCCAAAACAAGCCCTTGTTGGCACTTTCCTTGTTTGGGCACAAATCGCCCTTTTTTCCAGGACCCTTGTCACCAGAAAAATCCCCAGCATCCCAGCAACGTCAGTAGCATCCAAGAACCCCAACGCTGCGCCCCCCGCAAAGAAACACTACACTACACTGACTACACCAGTCACCCGCGTTGGACCCAAAGCGGCCAAAGCGCAGAGAGCGCACACACATGTTGCTTCAGTGCCCGCAAACACAAAAATTCCAATGGCTTGGACACAAATCACGCCCTTCCTTTCTACTGGCTTCAAAGCTGAAATCTTCCAACGGTCCCCGCCCCTTTCCTTGATACCGAAATCACCAGCAACATCTCTAGCATCACCAGCAAGGCAAATCCGCGCCCCCCCCCTTCGTAAAACCTGGAAACACACAAATCCCCAAACCAGGCACAAGTTCCTTTCCGTTCGCTGACAATATTTTCAAATGCCCTTGACCCGTCTCCCACCCCTGCCTTGAGTACAACACAACATCGCCAGCAACATCCCCAGCATCACCAGCAAGGCCCCGTGTAGGCTGAAACCCGTGCGCACACTTTCTTTGTCTGGGCACAAGCACTCCAGGGTCTCCCCTGCGCCTTGACCTAAGGTCAGCATCGCCAGAAACAACCTATGCAGCTGTGGGAAACAGGTCCTTCGCGCCGATCTTGCCCCGTACACGGAGATACCACACTGTCACGCACATCACCCCTGAAACTATCCAACCCCTCTCCCAGCCCCGTGCCTTGGTAACAACATTGCCAGCAACGCATTGAAACAGTTTTCCACCTCAAAACAACCAGGAAAATATCATTGGGCGGGCTCAAACCACCATCACAGGGACTCCCCCCCCCCAACAAAATGACCCTGACAAAATTATTCAAAAAATATGCCCAGGCAGGACGTGGTCCTGCGGAGAATTTTATTTCAGGGGCGGCCCGTGTTACTCAAACGGCATGCGCTCAAAAAATAATAATCACCTGGCGCCTGCAAACAACTTGCGGCTTGTTCAGCTGCGCTTCACTAGTCGCTTGCTGCCAGCTAGTCACTTCCTTGGTTCGCACAGCGCGCCTCGCTCTCTGCTTGCGCCTTCTCCAGCATCTCATCTGTCTGCGGCATGAGCTTGTGCGAGTCAAACAGGCTGCAAAGCAGCGAAGCGTACGAGGGCGCCTCCACGGACCAGTCCTCACACCGCGCGCCGGCAAAGGCACGCCACCCGGAGAAGAGGTTTGTCAACTCCTGCACTTGCTCCTCAGTCCATTCCGCGTGTTGCCCAGCCTTCAGAAGTTCTGCGCACACTGCTTCACCTTGACGGCTCTTGTACTCCCAGCCAAGGTCCACACCACCGCGGCAAAGCGCAGTCAAGGCCAAGTGCCGCTCACGCCTTGCCATGTTTCTGATGCCAGGTGTGACGCTGATCCCGTAGGCGTGGGAGGCTAGCTTCAACCTCTGCTCTAGAATCTTGTGTTCCTTCATGCGCTTGCTGCTCATGGACTCCACGATCCGGGATGCCTGCAACAAAGAAAACTGCACCCCAACTCCAACGCTCACACAACCAGCACTTGCTACTGCAATCTTGGCTCTCCGTGATCCTAAACCCTAAGGGAGTACGGATTTCTCCCTTTCTTGATTTTACCAAGTTGCCCGTGACTATGTTGTGTTCTCGCCTGTTCTTGTCCTCTCCCCAACCCTTGCAGCTCTGCCATTGGCGCAGCGTTGCTGTTACTATCGCGTAAGATTTCGGCATCGCCACAGCTTTTCGGCGCAGGTCCAGCTGCGTAAGCGCCTTGCTGCGCAGCCTGCTTCCAGCCAGCTCAAAGCTGGCTGGTTGGACTTGGTTGAACAGCGTTCGACAAAAGGTGCAGCAGCGCGCAAAGCCTAGAGCGGCTAATTGGGCTGACACGCGCGCCACGAAGGTAAAATGATTAAAATGCGTTCGTCTGTTCCCACCGCGCACTCACTTTCGCCCAGCGGCTAGCGTGGCCGATTGCACACTCAATGGAGCGATTGACCTTAACTTCCTACATGACCAGTGCCTGACGTCCCAACCTACACTCAGGCCAAGCCCTACCGCTTTGGAACTGTTTCAAAGACCCAACCATCAATCAAACTCTTCTTGAAAAAAGGAAACGGAAAAGGTAGCAAGAGGCAGGGCGGGCTACCGTCGACAGTCAGCTAAACAAACAACCAAGCGGAATGAAACAGCGCCTGTGGCACACTACCAAGAAAAACAATGATGAGGACAGCCTTGCCAAGGCACAGCGTCCAAACACCGGCCGATTTTTGGCTTCTTCTCAAAAATTTCCTGCGGGTTGAGAGCTGCGAAGCATGCCGGGACATTCCCCAGTTTTGCAACCTCCAGAAGATCGGGGTCGATGTCCCCGGCATCACTGATCTCTATGGACTCCCTGCCATCTTTCCCCTTCTTCTCCTCTTTTGTTGAGCCTTTCGTTGGGCTGTTCCCGCGCCGCCTCTTGCCCTTCCCTTTGCTGGGTATGTCTGTTGTTTTGGAGGGCATCGACATCACAACAACACCATCCTCTTCGGAGGGCGCTTGGGAGTCCTCATCATCTTCCTCCTCATCCTCCTCAAGCGCAGCTTTTGCCTCCGCCACCAACGACTTCCTCTTTGCTGTGTTTTTGTTGTACTTGTCCTCCAAAGTTTGCAAGGTGGGGATGTGCCTGGTTGACGTGTCCTTCAGCCCTGTGGGCTGATTGGCCAAACGAGTTGCGGCGTGGTGCTGGTGCTGCTTCTGGAGTTCATCATCTTGCAAAAGCCTGGAGGCCTCGGCCAACAAATCCTGAAGGACCAAACCTTGGCGAGAAAAGATTCGGAGCCTGCGAAGGCTATGAATCTCAGAACAGGGGATTCCTTTCAAGGATACAACATGGAGGCTCACCGGTTGCCCAAGCTGGTCGCGCATGCTGACTGGGATGGACCCGGTCTCCTTGGTCCGATCAAGCTCAGTGCCTTGGGTGCGCTTCATGACATCCATAAGTTCTTGGTCGGTGAGCACTGCGACCTCCTGAAAGACTTCCTTGCCGGCCTCTGTCTCATCCACCAAGTTGCCCCGCACCTGGACACAGCTGTTGGCTTGCTGCTCCTGAACCTGATCAAAGAGCTTGGATGCGCCCAAGAGCGCCGTCTTGTAGCTCGCATCGCCATCGCACCTGGGCAGAAGAGAGCGCCATGTATGAAACAGTAAAGTCGTTGA